AGGTATTTAGACTGCAGGTCTAAAAATTTCAAGTTTTTCTAGTATATTGAATTTTACCTCGATTACGTCATTTTATTTGGCTAATCATTTAAACTTCTATATTCTTCAAAGAATTTCCTTCGATGTCATCACTATTTTTCATAATATGAAGCGCTGCATCATGTTTAAAAGTGTTATTATTCGCTAAAAGTGTAAATCGCAAGTGCACGTATCACATTCAAGTAATAAAGTGGACTTTTTGAGTTTGAATTGTCGATCCCTCGAGAAATGTATACTTTCAATTACACGAATTTAATTAATTTAATTCTAACAATAAAAAGAAATATACAATAAATATTTGGTTTTGAAAATAACTAAAAATCTACAAAACAAGGAAATGTAAAAATCTTAAAAATTTCGTAGGAAAACGTGGTTGGGATTCATGATTTCACTTAACCATAGCCTAATTAATTTCTCCACAAGTCACTTACAAATTACTTATTTATGATGTTGGAACCAATTTTCAATTTTAGTTCATTATCTCTCTTAAACGAAATTAACCATAATTGATTGGTTTAACCTACCATATCTCTATGTTGATTCAAATCAAATAATCGCATTAAATATTTGTGAAATTTGCTCATTGGGTCACCTAAGATTAGGGGTATATCTCTATCTCCTACACAAATCTAGGGTTTTTACTATTTGGTCTAAAATGCATAATCTTCTCTCAAATGATATACAAATCACTAAATGCAATCATTCATTGGCCACATGAATGAAAATGAAATAATAATAACACGTTGAAATAAGCATGTTAATATTAAAAGACAAATATTGAAACTAATTAAAAGACTAGGGAAAATTTCAACCATAAATCCCAACACATAGCTAGCCCATTTTATACAAATAAAGAAAAAGAGAATATTTCATACAATACATTGTAAATATGAGATAGTAATGAAGAAAATACAAGAGTTAAGATAAAATATTTTTGGATTTGGGTTCTAGATAGCTTGATCTTGACTTTCTCCTACTATTTCTCCAAATGTATTCTCCTTTGTGCTCTTATTTTGCCCTAAAATACCAAGAAAATGGAAAGAAAAAGAAGAGAACAAAAAGAAAAGAAAGGAAGGAAAAAAGAAAGAAAATGAAAGAGGAAGAAGAACCAACCAAAGAAGCCTTGGAAGTGACCAACAAACTGGTATTTAAATGGCCAAAAATTGCCTTAGGTGAAATTGCAAAAGAAATCCCAAAATTCACGCAAAAATAGGAAAATTCGCCCCAGCTAGAAGGCAGCGCATGCAGGGTCATTCGTGGTGTGCGCCCTGTGAGACCATTTTAGTCTCGGTAAATCATAAAGACTTTCTCTTGCGCACGCCAAAATAAGCCTGCGCGCATGCACGGGCTTTATTTATTTTTTCAACTTAGTCCTCCATTTAATTGTACACAAGGCCCCTCAACTTTGATCTTGTTTACGAATTTTGAATTTTATAACAATTTTGCCCTCCATAAATTGCAGTGTAAGGTCCTCAACTTTTGTCTCTTGTGCACTTTGGCCCCCCACTTCACATTTTTGTACACTTTTGGTCCATTTTCCTTCCTTTAGCTCTTTTCTCCTCCAATTTGTACTTTTGCCTACAAACACCACAATTACACAATTATGAATAGGAAGCCACTCAATTTCATCAATAATTAGCTCGTTAAGGTGCCTAATAAGTGTGTAAAAACATACTTATCAATTATCAACAATTTTTTCTTTCAATTCCAATTCTTCTCCGTATAAATTTAACTTATAGAGGTATCTCTATTTCAACTATGTTAACGTATCTAGACATCTTTTAGGCTTTATAATTAATTATATCTATATATTCTCCAAAAGTATATGCCTCCTCAATATTATCTTTACTATTTTATTAATTTATTTGGTCAGTATATACATCTAAATAAATTATCTTTCAAATTTCTTATTCAAATAGTTCTGTGCAAGGATCTAGGTAATATAATAATGCATTATCTTTAGCATTTCTAACTGTTTAAGTATTCTCCCTAATACTGAAAAAATATCAATAAAAATGACGTTACAAACTCGTTGAAAAATATCACCGTTAAGGTTTAAGATAATAAAAAGTTTCGAACAAAATATTCTCAATATTCTTTAATCTCATATTAATGGACTGTGATGGAATGCATATACATTTATTGCATTTTAAAATATACTTAGAAGAGTAATATTAGACTTTGACTATAAGCCAATTATAATAGGAGAAATTTGTGTTAGCATCATGCATATCAATGTTATTGCTTGTAGAATATCATTCATCAAGCAAAATGGAAGCATTTAACAATTAATTGTGAGCAATCATTTATCGTCATCCCAACTAACATGTGAAATAAATCTGGGATGTAGATTTCTTAGCATTAACAAGATATATTGTCTTGATTGTATAATTTGAAAATTTTGCTCATAATTTAAAATTCAAGCAAGTAATCTCATAAAACTTCAAGTTATGAATATATGATAAATAACACGCAATCATGGAGTAAGTTTATGTACTTGATAGAAATAACATATAAATGAAGAGGAAATTGCACCCCACATCACTTTTGAATTAACATTTTTGAAAATGTCACATTTTAAAAATCTTTGCAAGAATGTGAGTTTTGAATTTTTTTTTTATCCCTCCAGAAAATATAAATACCTTGCATGTCATTACTAAAGTTGATTTGACTAAATAAAAATGGTACAAAAAGTGGAAAAGTATCACATCAAACCCACCCCACGCTACCCTATCCATCCCTACTCCTACTTTCTAAACCTATTGCCCAATTTTGCACTTGCGCCCCATTTTATATTGCAAACTCACTTTCTAAACCATTTTACACAATATGGATAATAAGATGCACACATTCATTTGAATTTAAAGACTTTTCACAGACAGTAACCCAATCGGAGTACATTTCAAGTTCAATCACCAACGGTTAATATTTAGCTCCTACTTCGAATTGAGGTTCGTTTAGATTTAAATGTTTTGAATAATTTGTGCTTTATTTGTGTTATTGTTGGTTGTTATTTGAAATTGAGGGGAAAAAATTCATATATAGGGTTTCGATTTAATGAGTGACTATATTCAACTTCCTAAAAAATTTAGATTCTCAAGCATTTCCTATGTATTGTTGGGTAGAATTTTATAGTTCGTTTGCTTTTTTGGTTTATGGAAAACCTAGTTATGTTACTTTATTCTTTTCCCTTTTTTATTTGGTGTTTCTATTCTTTGAACTATACTTTTCCATTTATATTTGTAACTAGGATTACTTAATATATAATAGAATATGTGCTTTACTAATGAAAAAACGAAAATAGGTAAAACTATAGTGTACTTTTATTTAGCCCCTTGTTTACTATCCATTATTTTACATTCTACTATATTATTTTTTCTACAGTACTCATTTTAAACCACATATTTTTCATTAAAATAATATTACACACAAACCAAAAACTTTTTCTTCTTTTTTAATCACATATTCTTCATCATTCTACTATTTCATCATACAATTTTGAAAATTAAAAGGGCTCAAACACACCGTTAGCCGATTACATTTAGGTTTCAATTGGAAGCAAGAATATAAGAAAATTTAGTGCACTCTTGTTTAATTTGGTTGTATGATTTTGACAATTTTACTTGGTTTGAAGTTTTATAGAGGATTTTTTTTCCAAATACATTATTGTTTTGGAGGTTATATTTAAGTTAAATTCTTGTTGTATTGTGTCATGAATATGGTTTTGAGTTTGTGTATGGTCCCGAATTTTATATTCTTAAGTTGGTTGATGAGAAACAAGCTACAGAAATTTGGCCCATTTAAAGTTATGAAAGTCCAAGTTATAAGTTATTTAAAAATCCAACAATTTAAGACGTTAAGTTTAAGTAAGTTTGATTACAAAGATTTAATAAATAAATGGATTGCCACAATAGTCACTTGTATGGTATTTTATATAGGCAACCCAAGTTCAAATCACCATCCGAATATTTTTATAAAATTATTTTTAGGTTAAAATTCCTCATTTTGCACATTAAGAACAATTATATCAAATTAATTGGATGAAGTAATTATTTTATTAATAAGCATTCATAGAGATAGGTTAAGAATCATATGAATAGTTCATTCTTCTCTATTTTTCATTATGTAAATGTTTTATAAAATTTTTTATAATAATTATTTTTTATGGACTTAAAACCCTTTAAATTTTTAGTTAAAGACTCAATTTAATAAGATTTATGATAATATAATTCTTCAATTTAGTTTTTCACTAAGAGGAAGGTAATAAGAAGAGGAAAGTCACTTTTTCATTACATCCCTTCTCAAATTTGAATTTACTCTTATTTTCTCTCAAAAATATCTTTTATGTTAAGTTTAAAGGAATACCAATAGTGTGAAGGAGAAATGCTTTTACTCATTTTGTTCCTTTATATTTCAAGAAAATCAAGTTAGGTGGTAATCTACCCTTTTTGTTCATTACACACACACACACACATGCTTATGATGTGTGTTAGAATTTTTGAAGCTATGAATAAAGAAGATTTTGTATGGCCATAACGCATTTCTATGACTCCAAGTGATTCTTCGAAATATATAAAATAGAATATGTGTTTTACTAAAGAAAATAGGTGAAACTGTAGTGTACTTTTATTTATCCCCTGTTTATCACTCATTACTTTACATTTTACTGCATTATTTTTTTTACAGTACTCATTTTCAACTACGCATTCTTTATTAAAATAATATTACACACAAATAAAAAAAATTTCCTTTTTTTAACCACATTTCTCCACCATTATGCTATTTCATAATACATTTTTGAAACCAACTTGGGTCACATCAACCAACTTAAGAATATAAAATTTTGGACCACACACAAACTCAAAACCATAATCACGACACAACATATATGACCAAAAGGATGCACCATGTGATACTATCCTACTGCGCTTAAAGCTCACACCTTCTATGTTGACAAATTTTTCAGATTAAAGGATTTGTCGAGGAAGTGAGATTTATGTGGATTGCAGAGGATCAGAAGGAGAAAGGTACTTCATTTGTGTAGTTTGTCACATTTGAAGAGTTTTTAGTTCTTACTAGTTATGCAACTTATGTTGAATTTTTAAAAGATATTAGTTTTGTTTCTTTAAGATTTCATAGTTCTTTTTTTGATGTGAACATTTAAATTGTTATTTAGTTTAAGTATGCATATAATTAAAGCTGCTAAAGAAGTTAAGAGTAAACGTTGGACTTGTAAACAAAAATTTTCAGCTTAATGCCCGAATTTTGTCACGTCGTTTCATCCAGAATTCTTTGAATTTATGGACAAAGCTAGTAATTTGAAAGTCCTATGAGTCTTCTATCCGTTGGCTATGGAATCAAATCAATTGGTTGTCGATAGGATAGGTGATGTCATTTTTCGTGTTCTATATTCAGTGTATTCGAGAACAATTTTTTAACATGTTTGAGTGTCTATTGGAGTGCATAAATGATCTTAAGAAATTCTAAAATTTTAATATATTGTACTTGAATGAGTTTAGAAAATGCTAAAAAAATTTCATAAAATTATTTGCCGGATAAATGGTCCGACTAAGCTTGATCGTTGGGTAGTACGTTGCTGAATTTAACTCCTTTAATATAAGCTAACATTCATTTGAACTCTCTGTTTTTGTTTCGCTATTTAACAAATCAAAGTTATCTACCTTAAATTATTTGTTACAAATAAATTTTAGAACATGTAATATAATGCAATGGTAACTACAAAGTTAAAAGAAAATTACGAAAATTTTAATTTAACCTGAATTTTGAAAGAAACAAAAGGAACATTAGAATTGTTTGTACTAATTTCAAATTTCAAGATTTAGGTCGCAGCAGTTTGTATCGAGTTTGTCTCATTTTTTAATTTCTAGATCAGCTTAGTTACATTTATTTGTAAGCTTGTTCATTTATCTACACATTTTGATAGTTTTATCGAGTAATTGGTTCAATTTTAGATGAATAAGGAGTTATGCTTACCCTGTGATCATGTTTTTCTCGTAGACTTGATTATTCGATTTATAAATACAATAAATGAAATGTATATATTCGGATCTTTTTTTATTTTTTACTGACAGTGATTTGTTGAATTGATTTATGGTCAGCTTAAATATTGTTCAAATGAAATTTTTGAGTTTAATTTAAATGTAGCTTGAATTTGTGAGTTGATATATTTTTAAATTTGATGTAATGTGGTTTCATTTGAGGATTCAAACATATGATTCATGGTAGCATAGGGAGAGTTTAAATGTAGTTTTTGTAGAACCCATTTGTTGAGATAGAGTTTCATTCTTGACAATTATGTTTTGAAATTCTAGGTAGTTGGTTATTTTTTCTCGACAGTTATGATACAATGTCAAACTTGTTTAAACTGCTCTTCTACATGTGTTACGAAGTAAATGTATTACATATCATAATCTGGCATTTGATATTTTGTTCATGTTACTGATATTTGCAGATAAATTTTAAATTTGTTCGGGTAGAAGAGGAACATCTACATGTGCATATATCTCAGTACAATAATTTGAAGTTCATCAAGACAATTCTTGATAAATTCAATTCGGGTCAGAAAATGGCTTTAGCTACAACTTTAAGGTTGCAAACCTAAGTGCAAGTTGTCGCAAGTAGTAAATCTCGGAAGTCCGAGGTTGAACCACAGGGAATTGGAAGGAAATGAACTAGTCTATGAGTAGTGAACGGTTGGTGAAAATAAGATGAAGACAAACACTAGAGCACCGGGGATTCACTTCGGATAAATGAGTAGAAATTGCACTTGATCTTTAATTTAACTCATATGAAAATCAACTAAGGAGTGATCTCATATGGAAGCTAAAACATTAACCACAAATATACTAAAAGATAGATCTTGATAATTGTTTGAGAGAATATGTCAAAATAAGTTGTTGGTATGTAGAGATTATCTAAGCATTTATTGTGCCAAAATTGTCAACAATAAATCAAAGTCTTTAACAAACCAAAACCATTTGTAGAACATATACTTCAACCAAGTAAGAAGATGAACATTGAAGAACAAAATGAAAGATCAAAGACAATACTAAACATTCATCAAAGTTTCACCCTTAGCTCTAGCGAAATGTTTAGAAATACATAGTGAAATATTACAAAGAAAATGAAGGAAACTAGAATATGATGGAGAGGATTGATGCTTCAAAATCGTGGCCAAGGTCCCCTTTTATAGGCAAAGGAACATCCAAAATTCAAGTAGGCAATGCAACTTGTTTCTGTCCAGCTTCAAGACAGCTGGAACATGCAACTTGATGCCAATTTTCAGATACATTGTGCAGCGAATTTGGACTTATGATCAACAGAAAAATTATTTCCACTTGAGTTAGCTTTCCATTGGTTCAAATATCAGGTTCATTGGATCTATATAACTCCAGATATAACAAAAACAATAAGTGCTGCTTCACAGGTAAAGCTGTATCCGGCAGGTAACAAGCTGGACTTTGCACGGTAATTTTGGCTGCCTTGTGATACGAATTTGACTTCTTCCAAAACATAAAGTTGTAGAAATGTGCCTTATCTTTCCAACCCAACTTGAATCACCTCGATCCAATGTCTGCAGTTCAAGTTATGATTATTTTACCGATAGCTGCTTCTTGCTTGAGGCAGTCACTATTTTTGACTTTTCAACATTATTTTCCTCCACTTGCTCCACTTGTAATAAATTGGAAATACATGTGAAATACATCAAATAGATACTCTTTCAAATGTATAATACTCATGCCGCCATGTATGTAAATACGTATTTCAATTAATTGCATTTTTAACCATGTATTTATGGAAGTTTAATTTACGGCATGAAAATTGGAATTAGAGACTAACATTAGCATTTTTAAACAAAGTGAATGTAAAATGCCTTGTAAATTATATATCTTGAAGCAATTTTAGATGCTAATCAGCTTTCAAAATTCTTGTCTCGAGTTCCTAATAAATTTGCTTGACAATAAACATCTCATTTTTGCATAGTTGGACAAACTATGATGTCATTGGAGGAGTGCTAGAAGGGCGCGCCAGCACCGTCTTCTAGTGAAGGAGCTGTCTTGAAGGTGTCCTTAAATGCTATTGATCCAATTAAAATGAAGAAGTGGTGGTGACAAAGAAGCAACGCTCGACGAGAATCTGAACACCATCTACTGCTAATCGAACTTCGTACATTAGAATTGGTAGGAAAAGAAGAAAAAACATGAAGTAATATATTTTTGTTAAAAAAAAAAAATTGCTTATAAATAGCAATGAGTTGATAGTTCTATTTCAAAGTTCATTATTCTAATATATTGTGGAAAAACTCTAGTATTTTTGTATGTCACATTATGGAGGTTATGTACAACAATTTTTTAAACTCAATATTTATTTTCAACTACATGGGTTCCTCAAATCAAAGCAACAGTCCATTGGGCCTCACTACATCTCCTCCCGTCCTTGATTCATCCTCGTTCTTCCCAATCATCATTGAGTCGGATGATAAAAATGTCTTCGTGCAAAGTGGTAGGAGAAATGTTTCCCAATTCCAATTTCAAACTCAGACAAAATTTCAAGCGAAGAATTTAATTCCATAAACGTTGTAGTCAATGATGTTTTTGACTACATGGTACCATACGAAGGTGAAGCCGAGAACGACACTTTGATTTCAAACGCTCCACCTTTTGAGATAACTGTCATAAGTTCGAACGAGAAGGAGGAAGAAAGTGGCAGCAAAGAGTCACAGGTTGATGACCTGTTAAGTGGGTGATATCAGCTTCAACCTATCGATATTATATCACTTCTGTTTTGTTCTGAAAAACGTCAGTTTAATTTGTAGTGTAAGTCTCTCTATGTCATGCATGATAAACTGTTATTCTGTAGTTACAATTTTGTATACATGAGTACTAACTTGGAACAAACCTTCGAAAATTTCAGAGTTTATCTATTGGGCCCGACAATTAGGAACATGGGGATTAATGAACAACTATATTTTGAAGTATTCGAAATTTTCAATGTTACCCTAATGTAAACTACAATGATAATAACACTACATGGCTAATAGAACATGAAAAATGATGGTCGTCATTATCATGTAAAAAAATATAATCCAAAACATTAAACATCATTGAACTTTATGTAGTCATTAGTACGGGGTTCGAAAACCATCCTCAACGACAAATGGAAGATTTTCAAAATGTGTATCCCTTACTGTGGGCGAACCAATTGGAAGCTCAGTTTTGTGAAACCTGACACCAAGGGCAGTTTCCTTTTGAATTGAAATGTACCAATTCAAGTCTTCATCTTTGCGTATTTTTGTCGTAGGTATATTTATATTCCGGACTTTGAACTTCAATTTGATTTCAGTGCATGGATCATGAGTATGAAGCTTCTCCATCAATTGTAATACAAGTCCTGCTGCGGTGATATTACATGGAACTAAGAGTGAAGTGGTTTTGCTCCCGCGTCACTTTCACTCATCATCTACATGCAAGAAATCTTCTCCATGAGACACAATGAATTTCAAATTATTAATCATACCTGAAAGTATGAGATAGCAATGATAAGCATCCGACTCAAAATCATTATATTAGGTTTATTAGCATGCAATTGCCACCAATAAATAATATCAAACTGGTGAATTCAACAAATTAAATGTCAAGCCCAACATATACTAAACGTCGGCTTCGACATTTCATCTATCGAATTTGACAGAATATAGTCGATAGTCCAATTGCCAATTTTACAGACTGCGATAAAACATAAATTTTTCATATCATTAATTGTGTTCATCAATACTCAACTACCAATGACAAAAACTACACAAATCATGAACGTGTTGAATTAAATAGGGAATGTTCCACAACGTTTTATAGGGAACATTATCCTCATTAAAAATATCTATAAATCCAAACCTAATGAATGTATATTAATTTACAAAATTAAAAGTCAAGCAGAGCATATTGTCTTTAACAATTAAAAAAAATAAGTTAGAAGATAAAAAGTTTAAGCATTTTGTAAATGCGGACATTTCAAAATAGAAGACGAATCCAAGACTACTTTCTTCTTGGTATGGGAATGGAGAAGAGTAAGACAAAATTGAGATTTTTTTGGAGAGAAAATCTTGTTTTCATGCACAACCAAATTAAAGAATGAATGCTTTTTTTTTTTTTTTCCTTTTTTGGTAAATAATTCTATTAGCCATCATATAATACATGTAGCCATGGATTTATATTAGACTAATCAAGTGATCACATTATTGCATTAAGTGCATACATTAATGAGCATTAAATGCTCCCAAAAAGGGATAAACATGGGGGATTTGGACTTTTCACACTAAAAATGTTACATTTTTGGGCAATATTTGTAAAAGAAACAAATTTTTGTGCATTTTCAAATTTTGTGATATCTATGAAAATATCCCATAAATGATTGACATGAATGATAATTGGACACCATATATCACCATAAATAATTTTTAGAAATATATGGAATTTAATCCTAACTTTATTTAGTGAATGTCTACTGACTATATGTCTTGAAAACAGATAGTATGTGAGAATTCATTATATTCATTAATCTATTGATTTTTTAGTATATATTCTGGACAATTATTTGCATCATAATTGACTTTAGATGGTCTAATAGATCACGTCAAATAATAAAATATTCAATAATTGAATTTTTTATTCGATACAGTATGTGGCTTAATTATACTAATATTTGTATAATACTCGTTTATGACATGTTGTAAATGGTAAGTTTATTAGTGAATGACAATTATACCTTAGAAGCCTTAGAAATTATTACCATTGTATCACTGATTCTTCTCTATAAATATAGGGATTTGATTCTTAATAAAATACACACAAATCTATTGATTTTTATTCTCTCTTCTCTCTTTCTCTCTCTTTTCATAACACGTTATCAACACAATAATTTAATTTTTCAAAGTTTAATGAAGTATTAAATTTTTTATAAACATAAATACTTATCAGTGTACCAAAATTAATTTGGCAACATGTGAATTTTTCTATGTACATATGCGTCAAAACGAGGCTGTTTCTTCTTCTACTTTTTCTATACTTTTTTGATTTTATACAAATCTATAATGATTATTTTATTATATGCATAATAGTTATCTTGTCCTATTTGTATGTCTATATATGAACTCAACTCACATGCATGTTTGAAAGATCTTTTAACTGATGCATTTTGGGCAATTAAATTTTTTTATATAAATTCATATAATGTCTATGTGGTAATTAAATATTTTTAGATGTTCTTCTACAAACTTTAAATTAATAATTTCTGAAATAGCACAACATTATAATTAATATTTCAGAAAAATATTATGTTTACCGCTCCTAAAGAGCGTAATATTATTTTCAATATTTTAAAAGAATATTGATTTATTTCTTTTGAAGAAGTAATAATGAAATATAATGTGCTTCTAAAAAAGTACATATCCCAAATAATATATATTTCATTGTGTTATTTAAGAAACACAGATTAATCAACTCAATACTAGGTTATAATTTTTAAAGAAAACTAATTTTTATATTATTAATATTCAAGAAGAATATTAATTTATCGCTCTTGAAGGGTATGAGTTACAATTTTTGATAATTCGGAAGAATATTGACAAATTTTCCTTGAAGAAGCAATAATTAAAGATAAAGTGTTCTTGAAGTAGCACATTTTTAAAATATATATCGTTTTGAATTCATGTTTATCATTGAATGAAAACATATAACTAATTCTATGAGGAAATTGATTAGTTTTACTATTTGAATGATGTATGATTATATAATCTTTAATTGTATTCTTCAAAATTAAATCATTGAATTATATGTTATATTGAACCAGAAGTTCGATTTGACTTTATCGTTTGGCATGACCAATTTGATCATCACTGGATTAATAATGATGTGAAATTAAAAATTCAAATGGATATTCAATGAAGAATCGAAAGATTCTTTAATTCAATCCTATATGATGTTTGTTCTCTTTCATGAAAATTTTTCGTTAACTATCACTAGATAAAATAGGGATTGAATTCCCTATACTTCTGAAAATTAATCATGGTGATAAATGGAGCCCCATCATCCTCCACGTTTATCATCTAATTATTGTTTGTATCTAATAAATTGATACATATACTAGATGGTTACATGGTGTTCTCAATCTGAAGTTTATGAAATTACTGCTCAACTTTTAAATTATGAGCATACTTTTCAGATTATGTAATCAAGACTGTGTCTTGTTAATGCTAATGGGCATAAATCTCAATATTTTAATAAGTGTTGTTGGGTTGTCGATAAATGATTTAACAATATTATTTGTTAAATACATCCAATTAATTTAATTGAGAATAATGTATTTCCCATTTTTATTTAGCTAATTCTATTACGCATCATGCCAAAATCACGGTCAGAGCCTAGATTTTCCGTCTAATTATTTGATAGTTCAGTATATATCAAACTGAATCATCACAATGCGTTGAGATGTAAAATAAAAAATGTTGAGAATAAATGCGTAGTTTGAATCCTTATCCCAAATGGGTAATATTTTATAAAATTGAAAAAATAATTGTCAATTTGATTAAACAATTCTCTCATCATCAGGGGGAGGAATTAAGAAGTTGAAAATAATTTATAAATGTGTCATCATCTAAATTCTCGCAAAATATTATTCGAATCAGTAGTTCAAAAGATAATTTATTTATATATTTACTGATCAAAGAGATAAACAATATCTCACGCATTAGTTTTAAATGCTCCAACATAAATTGATGACCTATGAAGACAATATGTTAATATTATATTTGATATATCTATGACACACCTGAAGTGTGATCGTGTTCGATTTTAATACAAAAAATCTTCAAACAAAAATGAAACAACTAGCAAAGATGGTCTCATTAAGGAGGCACTTGATGAGTATTTTGACATGACAAATTATAAAACCACAGAGGAGGTTTGAGTACCTGAAATAATGAAATTTGATATATCTCAATAAGTTATGTTATTATGGAAAAAGAAATAGAATTGAAAATAAAAATTGTCGACAACAATTTTGTACATAATGTACTGCATCATATAGTAAAGAATCGAAATAAATGTGTCAAAATATAGATTGAATTAATGATTGAACAAATAAAATGGATACATGTGGTACAATCGTTTTATCAAATATTTGTTGAAAAAGACTATAAAAATGACGATGTCTATCCATGAGTTTTTACAAAGAAAACAAATGGTAGATTTGCAATTGTGACAGTTTATGTTAATGATTAAATTTAATTAGAACTCTTGAAGAGCTCAACAAAATTGCAGATTATTTGAAAATGAATTTGAGATTAAAGATTTGGAAAAATCAAATTCTGTCTCAAGTTGCAGATTGAACATTTTCGAGAAGGATCATTTGTTTGTCAATCAATATATACAAAAAAAAAAAAAGTCTTAAAGCGCTTTTATATGGATAATGCACATCCATTGGCATCACCTACAGTTGTTCGGTTACTTGATGTGAAAATGATCCGTTTCGTCTACTTGAAAATGGAGAAAATGTTCTTGACCTGAAGTACCATATTTTAGTGAAATTGGAACATTAACTTATCTTGCAAACTGAATTCGACCCAACATGGTTTTTTCTATAAATCTCCTAGCAAAATATATTTCTATACCAACTCAAAGACATTGAAATTGTGTTAAATATATTTTTCGTTTGTTTTAATAGATCACGTTTTGGCTTTCATATGGTAGATGGTCACTCGCCTTTTCAAACCTATAGGACATTTTTAACTTGGGATTATTATATTCTCAATGGTAAGGATCTGCTTTAGTGGAATATGTAGATACGAGTTATCTCTCTGACACATATAAAACTAAATCACAAACAGGATATATTTTTACACATAATGGAACAACTATATAGTAGAGATTTGTGAAGCAATCCTTAACAACAACATCCTTAAATCATTCTGAAATTATTGCAATCTATGAAGCAGGTCAACAATGTCCATGGTTAATGAACACAAGCCATCGTATTCAAGCATTATGCGGGTTAATTGAAAACAAAAGATAGTTCAATAATTTTGTATGAACACAATGCAACTTGTGTTGCAAAACTCAAAGGAAGCTATATCAAAGGTGACAGGACGAAGCATGTTTCTTCAAAAAAATTTCATACACATGAATTTCAAAAGAGTGACGACATCAATGTCCAACAAATTCGCTCAAGTATCGATTTATTCACAAAATCATCGTTGACGTCTACATTCAAGAAATTGGTTCATGAGATTGGAATACATCGACTTAAAAATTTTCAGCGATCAACATTAGGGGAAGTAGTTGTACTCTTTTTCCTTCACTTGGGTTTTATCCCACTGAATTTTTCTAGCAAGGTTTTAATGAGACAATATTTATTTTTAATACTCCAAAATAATTATACTCTTTTTCTTTCATTTGATTTTTTTGTCCCATTGAATTTTTATCAAACAAAATTTTAACGAGACAGATATTTTGCAATATGTCATTCAATGGGAGTGTTGTAAATTGTAATTTTATTAGTAAATAGCAATTGTACCCCCCGTAACTCTAAAAATTATTACCATTGTATGCATGATTCTT